ATTCTTAAGCTCTACTTTAGTTCTCAAAGTTTATGAATATGATCTATGATATTGTATGAACTGAAGACAACTTGTTCTCTCGGCTGTGCAGCATCTAATGCTTTTGTTAATCTGTTGTTGATGATCTTAGTGAATATCTTGCATACGAATGGTAGTAGACTTATAGTCTGTAGTTTTTGATATTTTCTTTGCTACCTTTATTATAAATGAGAATTATGTTTACTGTAATCCATTGGTTTGGTATACATCTTAATCGTGGGCAGTTCATAAATATATCTGCTAATATTTTTAAGGTGTTTTGCCAGCATAATAAAGCAGTTCTGCGATATCTACTCTAGCTACCATACACCTTTTCATTTTTATAATTGCCGATTCTACTTCTTCCGGAAAGACTTCCGTACATCTTCTTGGTTACCAATCGTTTGTTGAAGTTTTCAGGTACTTAGAATAGTTTGCTGTAAAATTTAGTTTAATAATAAGAGTTATATTATTTTATTTCTGTCTGTAATTCCAATTGAAAACTTCACTATCCGAGATAGGTACTAGCTATTTTTGCTACTCTTTGTTTTCATTTCTTCTTGATTAGAAATACAATACCACCTCTTCGGTTCGTTTATATTTTTTGGCAGTAGAATGTGTTTCCTGACCTAATTCCAATAGCTTTTCATCTTTTCGTCATACTTCGTTGATTCCTAGGACGCATCATTTTAAATTTTCGGTTTTTCTACCAGTTCTACAAGACAGCCATCGGCAGTTGTATGTCGCTTTATAAAGTGTTGTTTTTTTTTAGTTAAGTAGCAGTTAGGACTCCGTAGATTCTTCGCACCCTCTGCACTCTTGGCTTGATCCCGAAAGCTACAAAGTTTAGTGAGATTTGGATCTTCGGAAAATAAAGGCCCTGATTTAAGTTTGTCTTTTATATTAGTAGTTGTGAGACTTCCTTATCACGCTGCTTAAGTAAGAGATGGTAAGGATTCTCAGGTGTGTTTTAATTTTAAGGCGCCAAAACCCGCCTTTTACCCTCCTTCTACTGCTATATATCGCACTTCCCTAATACGCCATATATTGCCCGGGGATAACGCGACTGATGTCTTTATGGAAGTAGGAGGTAGGATTCGTTGACAGAACTAAATGACTTTTTAGATCAGCTGTGACGCATTTATCACTATCAGTTAGGGGAGCGTTTCTCAACTTACCATTTGCGGCCCAATTTACCATAATTGTTTTTTTCGCGCTTCCTGTCGTACAAGAACAATCTATGTATGCAATAATAATGTACCTTAAGTATTTCGAAGCTTAATTTACAGTACAACCTTAGTTAGCAAATTCCCGAGAATCAGTAAATTTATTGATAAGTGGCAACACCTATCCGGACTGATGACTCTCTTCTCGACAAATTCCGAATTATTTCCAACATTCTCGACCATTCGACATACATCTCTTTAGTTCTGTCCATCGGACTGATAGAGCTCTAACGGGGGGGTGAACTTTTTCTCCTTCTTTACGTCCCATCTCCGGACGACGGTTGGCAATCATCACTGCTATTCTAACTTTTAACACGACACTCCGAAAGAGTTCAGTTGGGCTGTATCCAGAAGTTTATTATCTGAAGTTTTTCAGCCAGGACATTCTTCTTCTACCAATGCTGCGCTTTCATTGAATCGTTCCCTGCATTATTAGTTTTAGGAATTCATATCTCTCACCACGTGTAATATGACGCAGATATTGTAGTTTTCTTATTTTGATGGGATTATTATTATATTCTCAGGAGTCTTCAATATTTTTATATTTTAAATGCGTTCAATTAATTAAAACATTGTTTATTTAAAGTCCATGTCTCCACACCATACAAAAAAAAAAGAAAAAATACATAACACTCTAGTACTCGTTTTCTAAGATTTAGTCTGAGGTCTCTACAACACAATATTTGTTTTATATTATTGAATGCACTTCTAGCCTTTTCTATTCCAACTCTAATTTCCTAAGTATAATCGTTTGTTTCAGTAATGTTTCCTAAGTATAATGTTTAAGAATACTTAACTTTTGGGTTTACTTTTACTGAAGTAGATCAAGAAGAAAGACCTCTCTGTATCATTTGCTTAAAAATTATAGTAGCTGACAGCATGAAACCTAATAAACTTTAAAGACATTTGGAAACGATTTATAGTAAGTATATTAACAAATACCAAGAAATTCTCCGAGTTAAAATAATAATCACATGAAAAACACAACGTAAAACTCGCGCAACGTTTATTTATTTAACACCTTACTAAAAACTGACTATATTTCCGACAAAATACAAAAGTTGCATATGATAGCTGCCCTCTTTATGTTTAAAGCGAATCTTGATATTATCTGTCGATAGGACACTCGGAATCAGAGCCTGACGAATTTTCACCATAAAGTTAATACAAATTTTATTTAAAATTGATTGTGCGCGCGTAATTGACAATAAAAACAGCCAATCGCTTCAAGCGTTGTTTTTGAGAAAACGGTTCATCTTATACAAAAAGTGCGAAGAAACATTTTTTGTTTTTCAAAATTACAGTTCCATTTTTTATTTAACCCAGTTCTGTGGTGTAAACAAACCTCACTTTTTACTATTTCTTGCTAAAATTTGGATTATAATTTTTTTAACATCATGGGCCATCGTGCATCGTGAGCAATGCCTCAGGTACTTCCCTCAGTATGACCATGCTTGTAACATTTATGTCAAATTTGTCACAAAAAGCTGACTGAAGAGAAAAATTATGCGATTATGCGGAAATCGTATAAACTGGAAAAAGATTGTCAGGATTTGAACAGATTTCCATAAAATATGTACGTTTATTGGGCTTCTATATTTGACTGAAATAAAAAAATGGGCTGCATTTGAGCACTCCTGAATTTGGGCGAACGATAGAACAGCCCTGCATATTTTGCTACCACTATGGCACAAAAGCGCTTCCATGTCCTTGTGCGAGGTATTTGTTTTGATTATCGTCAAACCAGACCAGACAAAAGAGCTGTTGATAATTTAGCTTTTAATAAAGCTTCTAATTCAAAATTTTAAAAATAAATGTTCTCAATATTATACTCTGGGGACATATGTCACAATCCACTAGATGTTGGAAGTTTTTCTTGGTAAATGCTGTTTTCGTCAATATATAGCCAATAAACGTTGTTGCGGGCACAATAAGAAAAAAATAAAAGGGGTTTACCTGTAGACTTTCTCACTCTAAAAGGTCGGCCAGTTTATCACAGTATGTTTGCCTATGGTCAGAATGAAAATCACTGCACTATAGTCTCGTACACTCAAAAAAAAAAACAGAAACGTCCGAATGTTATCAATGATGTACGATGGCGATTTAGTTAATATAGAGTCTAATGAGAACAAACCAGAAATGATAACATTTTATAATTTAACTAAAGGAGGCGTGGATGTTTTAGAGAGATTAAAGTCAGAATGCAATGTAACCAGACTTAGTAGCAGATGGCCATTTACTCGATTTTGTACTAGCACAAAATCAATATGCAAAGAACACACTGGAAAAATAACATCGGTGTATAGTGACTGCAATCTAAATCCTGAGAGTGATGCATCTAAATAAATAATAAATTTGTATAATCTAAGTTACTGCTAAAATCTTATGTTACTTATATTACAAATCTAATACATTGTGTTTAATATAATATTGTTTTTTACTTAACCATCGAAAACTAGCTCACATAGTTCAATTTTATAAAGCCATTATTGATTCTTATTGATTCTATACTTATTTTATTTTATAGTTATACTTACTTGTCTGCCAAACGTGATTCAAATTAGCTGTATGGTTTACATTTTGTAATCAGACAACTTCTAATATAAAGAAATAGTACATTGTTTACCGGGTAGGAAAAGCTTAACATTCCTGGACGACTGTGAAGATTGCTAAGTCGAGGCGCAAGCCGAGACTTAGAAACACAGAGTCCAGGAATGTGGCTTTTCCTACGAGGTAAACATACTATTTTTCCGCAAATCGTTTAAAATTCGACAGATATTGATTGATTTAAAAAAAACGCGATAATTTTATTCCCAAATAAATGGTGCTTTGAAATTCCTAATAAAATTACTTGGGTTACTATGGAAACGTATTGAGGTTGAATTGTCAAACTTGACGCTTATAAATTTAATTGCTGGTGTTCTCGAAAGTAAAATGATAAGTGATGATGAAATTTTCATTCCTGGGACTCCTCCAGAGCTGGTTGAGGCAGTGAATACTGCTTCATTAGAATTATTGCCAAAGAAATCAAGAGAAAAGTACGAAAATGCATATAGACGTTTTATGGATTACGCATGAGTAAAAATACGAGTTTTTTCTCAGAAAATGTTGTAATGGCATACTTCCTAGACCTTTGTTTAAAGATGAAATCTTCAACATTATGGGCCAATTATTCAATGCTGAAGTCAACCCTTGCAATAAGTTATTATTCCTTATAAGCAATGTGTTTTCTATCATTTATGTAGAACACTAACAACTGTACGGAAATATCATTTCCTTACAGTAAGGAAGTCCTGACTTTTTCTTCAAGAAATTTTGACAGGAATGTCAAAATTTCCTGGCGATTTGCGGAAAAATAATATATTTAATTATACCTGAAAATAGCATTTTATGCTGACTGTAATTTTTTTTTACAAGGCGAGAAAAAATCTGTAGATGGGACCTATGGCGTAACGTAAGTGAACGTGACCTATCCCGAGTTAAAATAGATTTATCTGCGGTGTACACATTCTTAGTAAATCGAGTTTTTCCGTTTTTATATATAGGGGTAGTAGTGGTTAACTTTATTATATCTTTTTTAAGGTAATAAAATTTACGTTATTAGCAAAATTCAGCTGATAAATAATTCATAATTTTTGAAGGTTCAGTGGCATTTTGGTCCCTGAGAAGTGGAAAATGATTAATTTTAACTTAGAAAATATATCTCGCTCCGCCATTAGTAATTTGATTGACAGTTTCATCTCACTTCAGTAATTTTTAATATCAAATTGGTCAAAAAATGGTAAAACAGACATTACTTTCTAACATAAAAACAAATTATAAAGTTGTTATATATAAATTATAAAGAAATAAACACTTTTTTATTATTTAAAATAATTAACAAAAATCTAAAAGTTCACAAACTCCTTTCGGTGAGACATTATTAATAATTTCATCATATATAGTATCAACCACCGTTAACAGATGATCATGACAGAATTTTTTTAGAGAACTTGGAAGTATATCACATAATTTTTCTGCTTCTTTTTCTACAGTTTCCTAAAAATACAAATTAATAATCATTAGTAAATAGTTGATATTATGTTTATTCCAACCTTAATTTCAAGGTGGTATCATAGTGTAATATAAAATATAAAGCAGTGATATTATTCACAATATTCCTAGTGGGCAAGAAATAAAGCGGCAAAAGGAAATTAGTATTTAGAACGTGCTGTACAATCAGAGCTAATCAAATCGACCATGTGCTGATGGATAATAGGGAAGCCAGTGGTATTTCAGATGTAAAAACACGACGAGGAGCATTCTGTGGATCAGACCATTTCATATTCCAAATCAAATTTGAAAGCAGAGTTAACAAAGAAAGAAACGAAAGACAACAAACAACAAACAAACTGGATCTGGAAAAACTAAAGATTTAGGAATATAAAAAAAGGTTCCAAAGAAGGAGTCGCAAATGACTTAAGGATGCTAGAACCGCACTTCATAGAGGAGAAATGAAATAATATCAAAACAGCAGTACTGGCAGCGGTAGCGTCCATCCTGGGAAACAAGAATAAGGCGAGAAGAGGAGCACGGTTCGATGACGAGTGCAGACAAGCAATGGAGGAAAATAATGAAGCACACAAAATGTATATAACAAGAAAAACATGGGAAAAACGAACATCATTTGAAGTCGAAATAAGCAAAGCAAATAAGATATGTAGAAATTAAAAAAGAGCCTATGAAAATGGACAAATAGAAAAAATGGAATCAAATTTCAAAAACTACAGAATTAGAAGGGTTGCTAATACCTAAAAAAAATAAAAAGTGGGTATAAACCTCAAACAAATCTATGTACAGATGAAAGTAGGAAAATAATTTGTGACCAACAAAAACTCACAGAAACCTAAAAGCCTTATTTTCAGACCATACTTAAAACACAAGTAGACATGGAAGATGAAATGGGTACGAATTACGTAGAAGACAATTAAGTAGAGATTGGAGTAGAAGCTCCAACCATAGAGGAAGTTCTGAAAGCAATCGAGTCCCAAAAAAACAATAAAGTCCCGGGAGTTGACGAAATACTAGTAAAATTGTATAAGGTATGTGGCAACTACCTAGCAAGTCACATCCATGCGCTTATCAAAGATATATGACAAGAATAGAAAATACCCGACGACTGAAAGAAAGGTATAGTATGCCCGATCTATAAAAAAGGAGACTAAAGTAAGCAGCACATTGGGACGCAGGTGACACAGGTGACGCAGTGCAGGGCAGGCTACACAGGTCAGAAAATATACGTGTCACGCAGTGTGAGCGCATATTTGGAAGCACTCTTCTCGAACATTTTGAGGTGCGAATATCGAATATATTATATGAACATAGAAAGAAAATTTTATAATTTAAATAATGGCGTTATTTCTGGACAGTTCCGAATCAGAGTAAGACACAGAATTTGATGGAACATGTCAAAGAGAAAAAAATCATTTTGGAAAAGCAACTATATGAAAAAGAGAAATACTCTTAGGGAATTTGCACTATCATCAGAATTCTCTGAGTCTCGTTATTTAAATTATTTTCGATTAAGCAGAAAACAAGTTGATGAAGTACATAATATAATAGAAAACAGTATTTATTCAGATGGTTGTAATGCCCAAAAACCAATAGGAACCAAAGAAAAACTAGCTGTTTTTTTAAGGTATTATTTTTATTAATTTTGTTTTATTTAAAGATACAAAAATATCATTTTAAACAATCATAATTCTATACTCTATAATTTTACACAGAATTACGAATATTACCGGTTTCAACGGTTTGAGAAGATATCTCAGCAGACAACCTGGGGGTGAGTGTAGTAGATGAATAATTACTGGTGCTTCTAGAGTTGTAATCATTTGAGCATACAAAAGAGTTGTTAATTAATATGTTAATATGGGTATTAACATACGCACTTGTAAAAACTCTTTGTGTACTATGAGTGTAGTTTTCTTGACTGGGATCATGAATTTCTAGATATGCAGCTTCGAGCTGCAATATAGCTTGGAACACATCATTTCTTGCACGATGTTAAAATTTAGGAGGCATTTTTTTGGTTATTTTGTACATCGACATATAAAAATGATAGAGATCATCATCCAAAGGCTTTTGTGCTGCCCTTTCAACTGGTCTTTCTTCGGCCCTTTTTTGACGTTGCATAATTGACTGCTTTATCACTTCCTGTATATCATCATTTTTAGGTTTCTTATTTTTAGCTGCTTTGGATGTGATTGATTGGTCTTCGTTTGCCTTACGTTTGGTATTTTCTTTTTTGTTATTTTTTTGTATAACAATACCAGACGTAGACGGCTCATTAACAATGTCATTTTTAACACTCTCAATTTTTTTGGTATCATGTCGAATGTCGCTGGTCACCTCGTCAAAAATTTCACTCTTTGGACAACTATGGAGTCTTCCTGTTGTGTTTCTTCATCTTCACTATCTTCTTGTAAATTACTTATTTAATTTAAATAATTGGGATCGTTGATATCGTAAAGAATTCTCTGGCTTCTCATCAATTCGATTAACTGATCATTCATTTCGAATATTACCACACAAAATTTTACTAGAAACAAACAAACTGCTCTGCACGTGGCACAAAAATCTGTGTCCGGACGACTGCGCTGGCAGGTTTTCTTAAACACAGTTCTGTGCTGCCCTGCCCTGCGTTCCAATTCGCGCGGGGTAATGTAGTTGTACGGAAAACAGAAACCTGTGCTGTCCTACGCTGCGTTGCCTACGTCACCTGCGTCTGAATGTGCGGCGCGCCTAACTCCAGTGCAAAAACTACCGTGGAATTTATTATAAATCAGCAGCTCCAACCACTAGCAGAAAATATTATTATAGAGTATCAGACGGGCTTTGATAGAAGGCCACAATTGATTAAACTCAAGCATGTGTACGAGTACAAAACCGCAAAACTACTAGACAGACTTTTTTAAAATTTCGCAGGGACTGGCACTGGAGTATACGGTTAGGCAAATGCAAACTAGACAAGGAAACCTACTCACCAGCCAGAAGGTTCAACTGACTGTTTATGCTGATGATATTAATATTATGAGTACAACATTAACAAGATCACAGGAAACATAAGCAGACTTAAAAACGCAAACACAAAGGCAAGGTCTGGAAATTAACACAGAAAAAACAAACATGATGATACAGACGAGAAGAATATGGTCCCACAAATCATTATACATAAAGATGACATTCAAACAGTTATACAGTTTACATATCTGGGAGTAGAAATATATGCTGAAGGAGCAGAATATGGAGAAATACGAAAAAGAATAACGCAGGCAAACAGAGCTTATTTTGCCCTCTCCCATATATTTTGGTCTAAAAATATCCCCCGAAATATAAAGATAAGAATCTATCAAACTTTTATTCGACCAATAGCATGCTATGGCAAGAAGCATGGATCCTAAAAGAAACATCCAAAAGCGAACTCGATAATACCAGGATCTGTGAGAGAAAACGGAATCTTTAGAAGTCGATACGATAACGAGCTTTATCAACTTTTTAAGGAAGCACCACTGTAAGTCTTCATTATAATGGAATTCAAATATTAAAATATGCTGGACATGTGATAAGACTGGTAGAGGATAGGCTACCAAAATGAGCACTAAATGCTAGAATGCAGGGAAAAAAACCAGTTGGAAAGCCAAGAAAGCGTTGGGAAGACAGAGTAAACAGCTTCTCACAAGCCCTTTTAACCTTCGTGTATGGAGAAGATCAGCCACAGACAAGCAAGGGTGAAGGTAAAAAATAAAGAAGGTCAAGGCCGAATTTGGGCTGTAGTACCGTAGAAGAAAAAAGAGTATAATCAGAGCCTTCTTTTACCAGAAGCTATTGTTTATGGGTTAATCAGAAGCCAGATAAAAGGTAACTGATTAAATATAGTTATACAAAGTCTTAGTTATATATAAAGTCTTAGGCTTATAGAAACCCCCTATACATCCAATACCATGGGGTATAGTTTTAAAATTTTAAAAAGAACTACATGAGGAATCTAAAAAATTGCATTCCACAATATATCTACTCACCTAAGCAAGAATCTTTGGTGTACTTGTTTCTTGTACTTATAACTAGTATATAAAAATTAAGAAAAGACAGATAAAATTTGATTTCACGTATAATGCCTTTCAGTATATCTCTGTATTTTCATTATTTCTACTTACTCTTTATGAGCACAAGAAAATAGCTCACCAAAGGTTTTTGCTTAGATGTCTAGATATTATGTTGTGAAATGCAATTTTTATGATTCTTTTCATCGTTTATTTTGCCTCGCACTTTATAGAAGGCACAGATTTAAGCAAAAATCTGAAGTTTGGTTTCGTCAACCAAGAAATCTTCGAATTTCTACTTTTTGGTAAGTAATTAACTTATCTCCCATAAAGAGTACGTGATAAGTTATTATGACAACTGAACAAAATATGGTATGAAGAGAAAGTATGTTCAACGTAGAATAATAAGCAACATATCAGATAAGAACAACCTACTGAAATTTTTGCTGAGAGATTTATATTTACAACATGAGAAATCATAAGATTTCCTACCTGGCGAAACTAGATTTAAATCTTTAACACTGTGCTTTCTATTACTTGCAAAGCAAACAGATTGATGAATTAGTTGGCAAGGGAATCTAAAATATGCATTCCACATTCCGTTTATCTTGGTTAAAATTCGTAGTGAATTCATTTTCTGATACTCCAAACAAAGTAAAGAAATAAACCATAATGACGGTATTAGATTTTTATTTCAATGTAGGGCAGAGCATATGACGTTTTAATGTCTGTAAATAAATATTTTGATAATTATTGTCCTACGACGGGATACATTTTGCTTTAATTCAGATCAGCAGCATATGCTGCTCTGATGAGACCTTAAGAGGTTAAAATACGTATAAGCGGCTTGTCGCTGCCCTGCATCGAAATAAAAATCTAATACCGTCATTATGATCTTAAAGTATAAAATAAGCTTTTAAATAACTGTAAATTATTTTACCTTTGGAAGTTCTTTTTCAATTAACTCTCCAACTAACTTTGCAAATTCTTCACAAGCTTGGCATTCTAGAGGAAATTCTACGGAAACTTCTAGTGATCTATAACAAAAAATTTAAAAATCTAAGTAAATAGATACCTATTAGTTCAATTAGAGTCAAATATATCTGAAACATCAACAAACCGTACATGTAGACCAGACAACTAAGGATTTTTCGCTAAATAAATAGAAAAGTAACACAATAACTCCTTAATGTCAGTATTAATGTACAGGGTGATTCAAAAAGGTATGGACTTTTGGGTGGCCAAGAAATAGGTGCGTCACGACCCCTTCCAATCTACCGATTGCAAAGGTATTCCCGGACTTCATTACTGTAGTTCAGTGAAGCGCTATCTTGTAGGAACCGCATATTTGGTCTTATTGCAATATTCAATTCTTCCAAATACTCTTGTAAATCGTTTGCCAATAACTTCAAATAATTATCACCATTTAAATTGTTGGGAATAAATACTGGGCCTATAAGATTGTTATCCACAAAAACAAAATATTTCTAATAACATTAACATTTCGAGTGTTTTCCATTAACAACTAATCGCACAATCCAATCCTTTTAGTATAATCTTCAACCAATTACTCTTGAACCGTTGTTAAGTGATAGGGTTTAACCAGCTGATCCTTCAAACGCCTTCAAACCCTTACGTGAGAAACATTTAGTTGAGCAGCTATTACCCTTGTACTTATTCCAGAAACTTCTTCAATGATTCCTAAAATGTCTTCATCAGTTGCATCCATTATTGGACGACCACTATTGCTAGCAACACTTATGATTTTTTATAGTCTGGAAGGTCTTAAATACATAAAACAGAAGTCTGAAAACGCCTAATTGTTTCAATAAATTTTTTGATACTAATTATTTTCAACTACTTTAAAACGTAACAATTGATAGATTAGACCATTTTTTAACAATAGTTATGTTATTAAGTGTTCAAAATGTGCTCAATTTGTGAGTTGACAGTACCCTAATCGATGGTAGAATGCGTGTACCACATTTCTCCATGATTGTCTAGAAATTATTTGACATTAATCGATAATTCGTTGCCTTTCCTCTGCAAGACTTGGCTGGTTAAGTTTTGTACACTGAATTTTTCAAGTATCTTTAAAAAACATAATCTTTAGGATTGAAATCGGGTGAACGTGGAGGCCATTCAATTCTACCTTGTTTACCAATTTATCGTACGGAAAATATCTCATCTAAATAACGCCGAACATTTACACCAACTATCTGACGTTAAATTTCCTTCGATAAAAAATGACCCAATTGACTAACTACCTACTATACCTGATCATACATTAAATTTTTGTGGTCTGGTATGGTTTTCACGCATTTAGTGTGAATTTCGTACGAGTTCAACTATTCAATACAAGTTCAAAAATATATAAAACTTATGATTGTATGTAGTTCGAAAGGTCTTAAATACATAAAACATAAAATATGTAGATATTAATAAATTTAAATATTTAAATCTAGAATGCGAATTTAAATGTGATATTGACATTTGGTCACGATTTACATTATAATCTAAAACTGACAGTAGTTTGAAAAGTTCTGCAATTTAAATTGCTTTTCTAAAATGCCGTTCTCTAAACCGTTATCCTATTCATAAGACGACGGTACAAAAAACTGTAAAGCGATTTGAGAAATCTGAAGAAGGCAAAGATAGATGGAAAGAGAAAAGTTTTGTTGAAGATCTACATACATCCTCAGGCAGGGTTGTACAAGTCCATGATGTAGGTCATTCTTCAGTCTTACGTTTATTACGTAAAAATAAATTTAAATCATACAAAATAAACTTATTGCAAGAATTAAGTGAAGATGACTTTGATCTTAGATTAGAGTTTACTGAGGTAATGATGGATAAAACTGAAAATTATTAAAATTTCGTTAACACAATATGTTTTCCGATGAAGCAATCTTTACACTGTGTGGAAGTGTAAATCGACACAATTTAAGGTACTGGAGTGACGCAAATTCACACTGAATGCGTGAAAACCATACTCAAAGACCACAAAAATTAAATGTATCGCCAGGTATAGTAAGTACTTAGTCAATTGGGCCATTTTTTATCGAAAAAAATTTAACGTCAGATAGTTGATGTAAATGTTCGGCGTTAATTTAGATGAGAATATTTCCCGGACGATAAATTGGTAGACAAGGTAAAATTGAATGGCCTTCACGTTTACCTGATTTTTATCATAAAGATTATTTTTATTAGGATACTTGAAAAATTCAGTTTACAAAACTTAACCAGCAAGTCTTGCAGAGTTAAGGCAACGAATTATCGATGAATCTCGAAATGTTTCTAGACCATCATGGAGATATGTGATAGACGCATTCTACCATCGATTAGGGTACTGTCAACCTATAAATTGAGCACATTTTGAACACTTAATAACGTAACTATTGTTAAAAAATGTTCTAATATTTTAATTGTTACGTTTTAATGTAGTTGAAAATAATTAGTATTAAACAATTTATTGAAACAATTAGGCGTTGCCAGACTTGTGTTTTATGTATTTAAGACCTTTCAGTGTTATATATGGTTAAACTCGTATTGAATAGGAGATTCCAATAATAAAAAAATATACAGGGTGATGCATTTAAAAAACCAAAGTTACTAATAATATAAGAGAAATGGAAAATCTGCCAACATTGCAAATATCAAATATGGAATCTCCGTATCCCAAAATAGGTGTACCTTAAATTTTGTACAACTATAACCAGCAATTTACGAGATAATTGGCCGTTTCCAGACTTTTGGGCCACTCTGTATAGGATTGCAATAGACAGGAATATCAGAAGAAACTGAGAGGTCACTGTCAAGGTTTCTCAAGATTTGGAAAGAGAAGAGAATTTGGAAGAGAAAACTCAGAAGGCCAGTAGATATACTGACTTTAATACCACCCGATTGTTCTTTGCTGTACTAAAAAATTCCGTATTTGAAAATCTGGAATCTTCGCTTCCCTACATCTGAGATAACTTTTTTTAAAATGTCCTTCATAGTGATCACTAAAGTTCAGGATCATATTTTGTTTTACCAAAATAGAAATAAACTATTTAGATGATTGTTTAATAATAAAATCAGCATATTGTTGGGGGCTAAAAACGTAGTTCTTCTTCCTTAAAAACTTCTTAATAACTCCAAAGTAGCGAACGCAGGGAAGACAGATTTGTCCTGTCTTAGCAAAGCGGTGCTCTATTTTGTCAATATGTCTATAGACCTAGATCTCACCAGCAAATACAGAAAGAGTTTTTTTTTAATACTTTTAGGGAGTATATTATTTATATAGTGGTATAAAAATGTGTCACTACCTCGTTTGGTGACTTTCGAGCTGTAGTTTCATCATACATATAAAAGTGTGCTTGATTTGTCTTACCACATTGGTCGCAGAAGTTGTATGTCCACTGGCGTTGGTCGAAAGATTTTCCAGCAGAAATTTATGTAAGTGAAAGGTTTCGTTGAAAGTTAAAGGTCAGAACCCCCACTTCGTCGCTATGCTTGCACAATGTGGTTTTCTCCTTCAGCTCCTTGAATAACAAAATCGGCCTTAATTTCATGCAACTTTTGTCCTGCTGCTAAAACTTTTCGTTTATTTTTGTCGAGGGTCACATCTTTGAGTTTGACATGTAAGACATCACGTATCTGATCGAGGTGAGCCAAACCTATAGTTGAAGTTTTCTTTGAAGTATCGATAGTAGAAGTCATAGGGAACTTTGGGTTTATATTTAGGATTGCTAACACTTTTTGGTTCGTAAAGTTCCAAATAAAGTTGACGCATCTTCTTTTTTATATTAAGATCTGGAGATAAATAGAATTACCGTAATTTGTTTATATTTTAATGCGATTTACGCCTTGGAAAGCTCTGAATGTGCATGTTCACATTTTTTAGTGTTTCGTTAGATTTTTCGTTGAGTCTATTTATATGCTTTCCCTTGTTATTAGGTGGCCCTGCAATATCTTTATCACGACAAGTTTGAGCAATGAGATCTTCACGTTTCCTTGATGTGCTGTGGATTGAACCAACAGTATGTCTACAAACTCGTTTGGATAGCTTACCCAGTTTTATAAAGTATTTGTGGAAACAAGTGCGGTCTAGCCTTTCGTAAGTCTTTTTTCGAGTTCTTTGAATAGTAGCAATTTGAATCAACCCTCCCAAATAGGTATTTTTTAAATCTTTATCGCCTATTTAGTTAAACTTTTGTAGGAAAACTTTTCTTGTTTCTTCGTTCATATTCTGAAAACACTTGTACCTAAAGTTGCAGTTCGATTCAGTTAATATCAGTCCCATCTCAATTCCTCTTTAGTTCTTATACATTTTTCCGTCTGCAATCTTTTTTTTTGTATTTTTTTTTTACAGAGAGTGGGGTTGGCACTTTTTCTATTTTTGGTTACAGAAATAACTGGGATCTCTTCCGTAAGCTCCATATTGACAAAAGGTTCAATATATTGTTTTTTACAGAGGTACGTTTCTTCTTTGGATGCTTCTTCCTAGCTGAAGGTCCTGCGACATCACTATCAAAACAACTTTCATCAGAGCTTGTGGGTCTTAGTCTGACTCACTAGCGCAAAACGGATTTGACTTGGCCTCACTTGCCTCACAACAGCAGACGACCTTGCATTCCACGAAAATCACCGAACATTTATATTTGTGTGATGTAAAAAGGATGTAGGTCCAGAGCTGCACCCTTCATGCACCAAATGAGTGAAGAGGCAGATCCATAAAGATGTATAATTCCTTTACATATTATTGGATCTTCATCGTTTATATACCAGTCAGTTCGCCAATTTTTTTTAATTATGGCATATGTTTCCACCCAAAAAGGTCTAAATATGGAGCTGCATCCTTCCTAGAGCAAACTCCTCAATTGTATTTTCGAAACAGCTGTTAGATATTGGATGATGAAGTCGGTATTGATACCTCGACTGGATTCATTTAATTACACAAAGATTCCGGTTTATTAACATACTCGAAAGACGAGCTTATTAAACTTTGATACATTTTTTAATTATAAGAAGATACGAAGTTCGGCAGATCAGCTAGTTTTTAATAAAAATGGATATTAACAAATATATGAGCTTGATTTTTCAACTTACTTGTCTTTTCCCGGAACATAAACTGGCTGTACCAATCCTAAGAAACAAAAAAAAAACATAATTTATGTACTTAAAAGTGTATTTTATGCTAAGTATATAACTTAAAGAATAATATAAAACGTAACTAGTTTTTGTTAATATTTATTGACAAAATTACTTTTGCAATGTTAATGGAGCTATTTAGAAAGTTATCATGATGTTTACGAATATCTACAGTAAAATGTTGTGTAGTAAAAAAATCAAAAATTTTACAAAGAAAATAAAAAAATACTCAACATAATTAATCACAAATAATCAAAGGACCATCAACTTTCTAAATAAACCAATAGACGAATGCAAAGGTTGTTAAAAGAACAAAAAACAAAACCCGCTACCAGAATTGTCTGAAAATACATAGGTATAAAAGAGAGTGTACCATAAAAAAACAGGAAAGAAAATCAATAGAATGATTTTTTTTTTTTTTCAAAAATAAGACCAGAGTAATAAGAGTTTGAAGTACAGAGAATTAAAATGCACACGATTTTAGTGTAAAAAGATCCGTATATTTTAAGGTACCACCTTTAATGTAATTAATTATTGCGTTAAAAGAATCAAAATAACTTTTGATTTTTTTATGAAGTTATATATTGTATACAAATTAGTCAAAATTGCTTACCAATTAGTGCAAACAAAGCAACAAAAACAAAAGATTTCATTTTGTATTAGTTTAAAACAGAAAATACTGATGAAGTATAATACTATTTTGTCTATATATACGTTCTTAAAAATACAAGTGTGCATTGTTTTTATTTTTTTTGATTAAATATAAATTTAATATCCTAATCTCAACAATTGATGACGCAATTAATTATTAACCTGTGCAGCAAGATATATCTACACATTTAGAATATCAAATTTAATTTATTATTATACTTTACAAATTCATTAACAAATAGTCAGTTAACAAGTAAAACTTTTTTTTTGAACCTATTCTCTATCCTTCCATTGTTGGATATAGGTCTCCCCCAGTTCTCTTCATCTTTCCCTATCTTGAGCTGTTCTCTGCCATGTGGGACCTCTTTGTTTCCTGATGTCATCTTTCCACCTCATCTGTGTTCTGCCTCATAAGTAAAACTTACCAACTACAAAAATGTTCAAAATTGACATTTTATCACCAAATGCATTAATGGTTTAAGATATTTGTCTGGATAAAGTCACTAGCTACAAACATCGTTTTAACACAGACTTTAATTTTGGAATATTAAAAAAATATCTTTTAAAATCTTAGTCAGCATCGCTAAATGATTTTCAATGGTTACAAAAACAACTTTCACGTGTTGTTCTTTAACCTTGTAAGTTTTAATACGTTGATTCACATTTACAAACAGTTCTAGTTTTTTTTGTTTTAAATTTCTTCTCCACAATTCCAATTTTTTGCAAAAACCATAAACTTTATCACTTGTATGCAATACATGTGTATTGGCTCCTTGGAGCTAAATGTTCAAAATATTTAGTTTCTCGAATATGTCAACCAAGTAGCTCAATTTCATCAGAAATAAACTATCTCGAAACATCTCGGCTTCCAGTCTATTGTGTTCTTCTAGAAAAATAGCGATTTCATATCTCAATTCAAAAACACGTTTTGTAAAAATTTTCCACGTGATAACCATCTTGCCTCATAATAAAATAGTAATGCTAAATGTAATGCACCCATGTCTTTATAAAGTGCAGAAAAGGTTCCAGTTTTCAAAGGTCTCAGTTTTATGTAATTAACTACTGTTACAACCGTTTTTAGCACAATATTCAGGCCAGGAGACATTTCTTTGGAAGCCAGAGCTTCTGTGTGGATCATGCAGTATGTCCATATACACATTGGAGACTTTTGTCTCACAAGCGCTTGTAGACTATGAAATTTTCCGGACATTGCATGAGCTCCATCTGTAAATACTCCGACGCAATTTTTTCCACTATATCTTTGCTATATTTATATAATCGTTTAAGATAGCAAATAATGCGGGCGACATTGCTTTCAGTTCTATTGGTTTGCAAAAAAGTAGTTCGTCTACTAATGATATGCTATCACAAAATCGAACGTAGGCAATTAAATGAGCATCTTTATTGCTATCTGTTGCCTCATCAAGCTGAATCGAAAACAGCTTGTCGCGCAACTTCCCGAGTAGCTGATCCTGTACATCTTCAGCTATATCACAAACTCGTATAGACTCCAATTTTTTGGCAAAATTATCTCCAAACCGAGTTTCTACAATTTGAATTGCAGCTGCCAAAATATGCTCTTCATCAATACTGTGAGGCTTTTTACATCTAGCTATTTGATGGGAGGTTTTATAAGACGCAAGTAAAGCTTTTTCATTCACGGTCAAAGTTTTTCTTAAAAATTATTTTTGTTTTTCATGCGACTTTAATTTTAACTCGAAGAATTCTCGGGGTTGATTAATGTGCTTACTATGAAGCATTTCCAAATGTCTTTTAAGTTTATTTGGTTTTATGCTGTCGGCTGCTAAAATTTTTGAGCAAATGATACATAGAGGCCATTCTTCTTCATTTACTTCAGTAAACGTAAACCCAAAATTTCTTGATTCCTTTATGAGTAATCTTGAGAATATTTTCTTGATTTTATTTTTGGAATCACCCTCGCCTGTACACTTGTTGATGCTTCACTAGTATCTAATGCTCGCTTACGCCCAGTTTAAAATTTATCCATAATTTGGTATAAATTTAATAGTATAGTTTAAACAGGATCCTATTGTGTTATCCCGTGGGAACTTTATTGCTAAAATGTAAAAACCATTTTTTTTGGTTTTTAATATCTTTGTAAGGCAAAATCACTTGGTCGTCCAAAAATCGTAGTGGGAGGGGGGTGGTGGGGAGCCTTACAAAAAAAAAATGCAATTATTTTTTTTCATCGTTTTTCGGATGTACAATATCCGAACATTCATTCATCAAATTTGCATACCCATCTGGACATTAGAAATATTTTTATTTTATTTATAAAAATACGTCAAACCATTGTTGTATACGGAGCGCCTTCATACAAAATCACTTGTTCTGAAAACCCATATTTTTAAAATCTTTTACCTCGCTCTACCTCGAAAAATATTGGGTTTAGCAAAAAATTACTTTCTATAAACATTATAGACCAAAAATCAGAGAACACGTGTTCTTTTCACAACAAAATTTCCTCTAATAAAGTCTTCATGAAATTCTGGATACTTATCAGCAAATTTGTACATGTCCAACAAATATAATGTTCCCCAAAAAGAATAGTTCACATGGCCAAATGCAAAAAAGTAAGGATGCATTTTTCGAAAACTAGAACAAAAATGTATTCTCCAGTTTCCGCGTCCTTCAACAAACTGAAAAGGAAATGGACTTTATGGAAAAAAAACATGCCTTAATCTGATTTTTCACTTAAGTTCACTGTCAGACCTGCTGCTTTTCGTTAAATCCGTTTGTAGATAAAAAAAATATTTACTTTAATATTAATTAGATATTTAATATTTTTATTATAGCAATAAGCTAATTAATAACTTTTAATAATTTAAAACTTTTAATATTAAAAATCTCAGCTCAGTGGATTTCGCGCTATTAGTAAAAAATAATGCACAGTGATGCACTTTCGCAATAGAATATACAACACAACAGCGTTTCAATGTAAAATCGACCCTAACAACATCGCCATCACTAGAGTCGATTTGCTTTGACTTCGGCACAGGAATCTCGCCCTTCCTCGCATCTCCGCGTTCAGCACTGTCAGTCGTGACATGCCGTTCGATTTATTTAATTTTTTCTTAAACTAATTATAAAATCGAAATTCTAAAAAAACCCACGTGTTCTCTGATTTTTGGTCTATAATGTTTATAGAAAGTAATTTTTTGCTAAACCCAATATTTTTCGAGGTAGAGCGAGGTAAAAGATTTTAAAAATATGGGTTTTCAGAACAAGTGATTTTGTATGAAGGCGCTCCGTATACAACAATGATTTGACGTATTTTTATAAATAAAATAAAAATATTTCTAATGTCCAGATCAACATGAAAATTTGAGGAATGAATTTTCGGTTATCGTAGATCCGAAAAATGACGAAAAAAAAATTAGCACTTTTTTTTTGTAAGGCTCCCCACCACTCCCCTCCCGCTACGATTTTTGGACGACCAAGTGATTTTGCATTAGAAAGATATTAGAAACGAAAAAAAATAGGTTTTACATTTTAGCAACAAAGTGCCCACCAAAATCTATTCTAGAAACCTTTTGCCAGTCTATTTACTCTACTATAAGTATATTTACCGACTGCTTGGTATATTTTAATACCGTAAACTGCAATAAATACATGCAAACTACAACATAAACATTCACAAGAAATTTAACAGGTGCAGAAAGACTGACTGGACTTACTAAACTGACTCGACTAAGGTCTGGGTCTGAGGAGGAGAGAGAAGAACTCGGAACTCGGAACTTCTCGCGAAGAGAGAAGATTTGGTTCTGGATTGGTGTTGCCACATATCAATAAATTTACTTATTCTCGGTAATTTGGTAATTAGGGTTTTACTGTAAGTTTAGTGCACGGGCGGATAAAGAGAGACTGGCTAAAAAATTTGACAAATAAATATACTTTACCAACGATAAGGTTTGATTGTCTTTATGGCACTCAAGTGTGTAAAAAGTGCCTTAAAAAATATTTCGGTTTAAAATTGGGTCCTGGATTCACATATTTTTATTGTATGAGGGGGGTGCGATGAAAATAATTATATAAAATTGGGTTGCAACTGATAAAAGGTTGTGAAACGCTGCGTTAAATAGATAAAAAACTTAGATTTTTTAAAATTGTATCGGCCTAATAAACTTAATAAAAATTTGAATATTTACAAAAAACAAATAAATAATAAACTTGGGATTTAATTAAGAGAAGTTTTCACGTATATAAAATATTAATTTGGATCAAGATTACTATGTATTATACAAAGACCTGATAACTTCTATAATTTTATTGTTCGTATTACCTTGAACGTATTTTATATTCGATATGTAGAGCACGAAATTTGTTTACATGCAGAAATAATTTACGCGATAGCTTAGTTTAGCTTTCGTCAAATTTGAAATGTTCATTGAGTTAGGATATATTTTGCTTTGTCTTTTACTTAAGAAGGAGTTGATTATATGAAGTTATAAGCATAGCAGGAAACGTGTTGTTTGGAAAACCAAACGTAAGTGGTTTAGGTATTCTCCATCTATTTTTATTCCCCTTGTCATCTAATCCAAATTATTAAAAGCATCTTCTCGCACCGTATTTAAAAGTTTAGGTGACATTGGGTCTCCTTGTCTAACCCCCCATTCTATTTTATGCGATTACTGTTAGTATGTAATCTTTTGGATGTTCTTGTTGTTTACTCTTATATTCAATTGCATATTTCGTGTTCTACTAACGACCGTTACCTTCGTCTTGTCTATATTAATCTTCAAGCCCACTCGTTCTCCTTCAGTGTTTATTCTATTAGTCGTTGTAGCGCTTCTTGGCTATCAGCTATTATGACTGTATCATCAGGATAGCGAAGATCCCTAATAGTCTGTCCGTTAATTTTTATTCCATCTTCAGTGTCACTTAAGGCTCTATCGAAAATCGTTTCAGAGTAGAGATTAAAAAGGAGGGGTGACAGAACACAACCATGTGGTACACCTTTTTCGATTAAGAAATATAATGTAGATTCCAGTCCTACTCTCACAGATGACACTTGTTTCATATAAAGGTTCTTTATGATTTTA